CCCCAAAACCCCAAAACCCCAAAACCCCAAAACCCCAAAACCCCATTCGATACAAAATTAATTGAATTTAACTTAAGTTTTCTTTTGCAATGTCAATAAGCTGTAGTCTAATCTTGGCTGCTTCAAAGTATAAGTCATCATCATTGATAGTGTCCATTTCGAGACTTGCCATTGCCCAAGCTCCCCAATAGTAATTTATAAGGACTACCATTGATTTTACTTCTTTAAGGAATTCATCTCTATTAATAGTTGGCCCATCTAAATCTATTATTGCTTGGATATAGTAATCTACTAACTGTTCAAGCTCTATAGGAGACATTCTATTTTCAGGATAGATCTGGAGCCAAGGATATTCGTCATACTCTCAGTTACTGAGCATGGTTTCTATGTAATAATTTGCTAAATCCCAACTCCTTTCCACAATTCCTGCGTATTCATAATCGATCAGCATTCATTTTATGGTAGCAGTCTTTAAAGGTTTCGCTTTGAGAAGAAGAATGTTAGTCTCTTGAGCATCTGTATGAGCTACAATTTTATCGTCTCACTGGGGGAGGAGGCTTCTCCAATAATCCTCAAAACCCTCTCTGTAGTATTCGCTAACAAAATCTTCAAAAATTGTGGAATAATCATCCCTTTTTAATGCGTTTCTGATATCCTTGATTTTATCTTTGATTTGTTTCCACCAGTTTTCGAGGAATAACTCCAAACATGTCTTTTGAGACTCGATGAGGGAGGTCACTCCCTCTTGGATTCTATTGTTTCAGTGGAATGAAGCAAAATGAGAGGTGATCTCCTTCATAAAGTTTAGGTTTCTCAACTCAAAAATAGATATAGTCCGGCTTGGAATATACTCTTCGATTCTGTATTTGTTACATTGATAAAAACAATATGGCCCTTCTTTGTTATCACTGAGAGTTTGGAAAATAAGGTTTTCTATCCGGAAATCAACAAGTTTATTAGTAAATTTCCTGTATATAATAGAATGACTATTCCCGTTTACCTTAAAGTCTACTTTATACGTCACATTACTTGCTCCAGGCATTTTTGTGACGTTGGAAATCGTATCTGGAGTAAACTCAAAATCAGCTTTGCTGTCTTCCTCGCTGAAGAAATTAGTGAAAATAATGGAATCAGTGTGCAAGTTGAGGATTGCTGCTATATCCTCAACAGAGTCTTTCATTGTAAGCATATTTGTTTTATTCAATAATATATAATACTTGGGGTTTTGGGGTTTTGGGGTTTTGGGGTTTTGGGGTTTTGGGGTTTTGGGG